CCCGGGTAGATGGGACTACAGGCACATGCCACCAAGTCTGGCTAATTTTTTGATTTTTATTTTTTGTAGAGATGACGACTTGCTATGTTGCCCAGGCTGACCTCGAACTCCTGGGCTCAAGCCATCCTCCTGCTTTGGCCTCCCAAAGTGCTGGCGTTACAGGCATGAACCACCACACCCCACCCCTATGTTTTCTTCTATTTATATGATTTCAGGTCTTACGTTTAAGTCTTTAATCCATTTTGAGTTAATGGTACAAGATACAGGTCCAATTTCACTCTTATGCGTGTGAGTTTTTCATTTTCCAGTATCACTTATTGAAGAGAGTAACCTTTTTCCACTGTCTATTCTTGGTGGCCTTGTTGAAAATTAGTTGGCCATATATGTATGGGTTTATTTCTGGGCTATCAATTCTGTTCCATTGGTCTATGTGTCTGATTATATGCCAGAATTATACTGTTTTGATTACTATAGCTTTGTAACACAATTTGAATTTGGGAGCTGTGATGCCTCCAAGTTTGTTTAATCTCAATATAGTTTTGACTGTTTCGGGTCTTTTGTAGTTCCATACATATTTTAGAACAGTTTTTTTTTTTCAATTTCTGTGAAAAGTGAAATTGGCATATTGTGGGGAAACTTTTCTGTTTCAGGAACCTGGCTCCAACAACCTAAAATTGTGATTTACAAGAGAATTGTTTCGTCAGTCTTTACAGAAATGTACAAAGCCAAGAGTTATGGTCCTTATGCTTTTGGGGCTTTTCCTCTGTAGTGGCTGCTGATAACCCTAGACTCTAGTGCTGTGCCTTATCTGGAACAGGCATTTAATGAGTATTTTCAGATTTTCTGCATCTCTGTAGCATCCATTCCTTGAAAGAAATACATAGAAATAGATTTTTCTGTCACCTGAATGAACACTAGGATACTAGGGGATGGCAAATATCAGAGTTCATCCCTCCCCATTTGCTGGGAGATTGTTCCTTACTGCCTGAAGTCTACCCTTAGCCTACTCACTTAGATAACCACTTGGGCAGAGCAGGGTCTATCTTTGTGCTGACCCACAGTTGTAGTTCAGCACATACTATACTGACCAGAATGCAGTGGGTACAGTTTAACTCGTTGTTGGATGAATGAATGAAGTTCATAATTTTGTCTGGGAAAGGCTCTGACAGCTCTCTAATTCCCTTCCTTCTCAAGAGAGAAGGACAGAAGTCTACTTCACGCCAGACTCCCTAGAGGCTAAGGAAGTGCTTGCATTTAGAGATGAGAGGTCAATCAGGAGAGAGACAGACCACGCAGGACAGCCAGGGACAAGTAGGCAGAGGCTTTGGGGCTCACTGAGGATCCACTGGACCGGCCTGGGCGCTGCTCCAGAGGGAGATAATGAACTCAATTATCCAGATAAGTGTGCTGTTGACACGACATGCTCTCTCTCCAGGCACTGATGTGACAGGTCAGGAGAGACAGGCCTGCCCTCCTTACCTGGGCTTCACCCCTAAGAAATGACTGGATTTTGTGAAGGCAGAGCAGGGAGAAGAGAGTCAAGCCTGAGAGGAAAGCAGAAACTACTGATGCCTTGCAGAAGCCCAACTCCACAGCCTGGGAATCGACATTCACAGACTCTTTCAGATCAAAGGCCCAGAATTGCAGCTATGTCCTCCTTTCCTGGGGCTCTCACTCTGACTACCCAGCCTGCATGGTACAAGAGGTAGAGCCCAGATAAGGGTGTGGCGCCCACGTATGCATCAGGTGCTATGTGGCATCGAACACAATGCCACCTCACATGAAGGCAAGAACTTAGTCTTCAAAACTCCACAACATACACCCTCACAGGGGATTCTTCAGGCCACTCCATGACACAGGCAGGTGGTTCCAATGACAGATGAGGACATGGGCGTTGCTTCCCCGAGTAAACACAGTGGAACCTAGGTGGTCTGGAACACAGGCTCAAATAATATGGTTCATGTTACTGCCACCTCCATTCCAAGGGCACATTTCAATAAATTTTGACAATTGCATGCACCTGGTGACTAACCCAGCCAACGGGAAGATACAGAACACTTAGATCTTCCTGGAAATTTCAGTCAAGCACCTTCCCAGTCCCTTCTAACATCCCAGAAAAAATTTAACCTTCTCCATTTCCCACACCAAATATCAACCATCTTGCTCTGAATTTCACAGAAGAAGAATCATCAGTATCACTCTTCCATGTCTAGAAACTGTCACTCAGCATAATGTTTGAGGAAGGCATCCATGTTGTCAGAAGGGGCGCTACCTTACTCTTTTCAACCTGTGGAGTATCACACTGTCAGGATGCACAGCAAGTCCCCTAGCCATTGTCCTGCTGATAGGCAGGAAGGTTGGAGCCAATGGGAGAATACTATATTTCAAACTGATGCAAACTTCCTATGTGAGTCTTTCTGAGGACATTTGCTTCCCAATCAAATACAAAACTTTAGCACTGCAATCTGGCAGTGTCCCAGAGTCCTGCAGAAGGGGTTCAGGGAACAGCACCCACAGGTGGACCCCAGGGAAACCCACGTGCCATCCGCCTGGTGGAGAGGTGGATCGCATGGCCCCGGACTCGCCCGACGGGTCAGGTGAAGGGTGGTGGGCTCGAAGGGACAGGAGCTCGGATTCGAGCCCAGGCAGCCCTGCCGCTGCAGCGTGCAGCTGGGGCAGCAGACGAAAGAGAAGGCCCGGTGGGAGACTGGCTCAGGCTAGCCAGAGTTAAGGCCTGTGGGAGGCATCGAACATGTGCTGCCCTCGGGGCCAGAACAGCCATGAGCCAGACCCACCGGGTTGTCCAGGCACGGGGGCCAGGGGACACACCGAGCAGTCCACTCCCAGAAGCCGGCCCGTCCCCACACGCCCTCAGGCGGAGGAGACCCGACACCCCAGCCCCTTCCCCGTCTGGGAAGAGGGGCAGGGACTCGCCCAAGGACACGCGCTAAGACGCAGGCCCACGGAGCTAGGCTCCGGGCAGCAGCAGCGGCCCGACCTTCAGCCGTGGGACTGAAAAGGCCCAGGCAAAGCCGGGTGCCAGCACAGCTCCTGGGGCGGCCACGGGCCCGGGGCGGGAGGGGAGCGTTGGCCCACGGCGTACCCACAGCCAGCAAGACGGTCAGCGCCGGGAGACCGAGGACCCCCGAGGGGTGGCGTCCAGCAGCCACCACGGGGGCAGCCGGGGCGCCGAGTCCAGGGCAACGGCCCCGCCAGGCGCTCCCGGACGGGCCTAGCCTCGGGACGGGTTCCGGGTGGGGGGGGAGCGGG